AGATTAATGTGTCCCTGCGGTAAATGAGCTTTCAACTTGCAGGTTCTGACTTTAATTTTTCTTTTAAAAATCAATTACTGATGCACGAAAGCCCACTGGTGCCATGTAGAATACATTTTCAAAGAGTGAAGTATAAGTTTTTCAATTTTGCTTTTACAAGATACAGTTTTCCAGAATTCGTTTTAATGAGTTATTTCGTTTCATTGTTTCTGTTCTTGGGAAATAAACACTTTTTAAGAGATTTTTTTTTCAAAGTTCGCTTTTACATCCCATATAAACAAACTTGAAAAAATAGATCTCGTAAAAACGAATTTTGAAAACATATAATTCCCTTTTCGAAAATGTATACTTCATGGCATTGATGAGCTTTTGTTTGAGAAGATCGATGAGCTTGGTGTATTTATTATTTCAGTTTCCCCGTTCCTGCTTTAAGTTACATAAATGCAACGGCGAATACCAGTAAAAAAGTCAATAATTCCAGACTTCCACTCAATAGCATTAGCACAGACGGAAATAAAAATACATGTAAGGTAATGATATATCATAATAGATATGGTTCTATGTCGAATAACAGTTATTTTAAAGCAAGTGAGGACTTGAAATAAAACGTAACCTGTAAGAGGTAAGACAGAGTTAAAGGTTCTCTGCTATTCCACGCCATTGTTATGTTACATAAATCTGTATTGAATATAAAAACAAGAATTGAGTCCCGGCGTGTTTCGTTTATTTCCATCGGTTCTGCTGATTCGACGATTTTTTTCACCAATTTTGTCGTGCCCCCCACTTTCCCCTTCGAAAACTCTGAATGAATGATGTATTGCATCCCGTAAATAACCCGATCTTCAGGGTAGGGGCTACTGACCCGGCGTTACGCGTGGACTGACCGAATTGAAATTTGGCCACAGCAAGCGACAATACCAACGAGATGTGTCGTTGTAGGATGCAGCAATACACCATAGGACGGTGTACGCCTGCACAATTTCCCAAAAGACCCGGCATCATGGAAAATCTGGCCAGCAAAAGTGTGCTTGACCAAGGCAAACTGGGACGGGCCGTCCCCAACGAGTATCATCTGCAGTGACAATTTTACAGCCGATGGCTACGAAGAAACGCTCCTTGAAGAGTGTGGAATACCAAAAGCACCTCGGCTGAAAAATACAGAAATCAAAAGCAGAGCTTTTAAACTCTTCCTCGGAAAAATCGGCTTAAAATAGCTCTCGGAAACTTCAGAATCTGCCATCATTGCTGACTCAAGTCTATACGATACCAAGAGAGGCGAACGTTGAACGTGTTGCGTGGAGACGCGTGGCAAGATTGTTCTTTACGTGACGTCATGATATCAACATCCGGGCATTCACTGTGAAGGGATTTTTTTTGTAGGGTGGGGTACTGGATCAGAAATTCTTTTTTTCAATGGCCAATACTTCCATTAATTTGACTCCTCCAGTAAAATTTCTGTCTTTTTCTCATCTCAATCATGTCAATCAGCTGAGAACCTTTAAACTTCGTATAAGTATGTAAGTCACTTGTGAGTTACTTCCTGTATTCCTGATATCTTGAATTACGCTGGAAGACAAATCCCTCACTCCATCTTGAGGAGTCGCGAGGGGGGTGGTCAAACCTCAAAACGTGCCTTCAATATCTGTATTTGTAGCCTCGATTTCAAGCAGATTTTAACCAGTTTTCCTTATACTAAGAATATGGATTATTCGACGAAAACTGTAAATGACATTCAATCAACGACAGGAAACCGTAGACTAATAATCAACGATGAGCTTTTCACCCCTTGGGTTCGAGGTTAGCCGAACATGTTTAATTTACCGCCTTTCTCAGTGGTTATCCTCCTCAGGGAAATGAAAAGCAGTGGTGACATCTTTTGACCGTGACTCCTCGTCCAATCAAGTTCTTGTTTGTTATTCCACTCGTTATCCCTCAGGCGCATATGCGGGAGGTAAATATTACCACAGAACGTGTCGAAAATTAACAATCGCACAGCCAACCCCCTTAGGGCACAGAATGGTCCCGTTTTCACCCGACTATCACGAAATTTGATTTGTTTTTGTTTCAGCATGATTTCAGGATAGAGTGGTGCTTGAATACAGGGGAAAGCAGAGTCACGCACATCACTCTGTTCGCTTGACATTTTGGTAAAATTATTAGTGATGTCAACGAGTCAATTACCGGTGGTAAACCCCTTGACCTGCCAGTGCTGTCCGTGACCCAACCCCACCTCCTGGTTGAACAATCAACTTTCAGGTACAATTGATTATTTTCGAAAATGCTATTAATGGTGATGGGCTATTTTTCCCGGGGAAAATACTATCATGTTTGTTCATTATACTTGACGTTAAAAAGATGTATGGGACAGAAAGTGTTCTATGCTTTTGTTGTGTTTTTTGAAGGGTTTGTTGTTTTGCCCTTCAAACCACAACCATTTCAAAAGATAAACACAAGTCTATGTGTTGAAATAACAGTCTTCATGATCAATAAAGGGTGGGTCAGTATGCTTTGAAAGGAAACTTGTTATGTAGCATCTGATTGATTTCATGATCTGTAATCATCTCATGTATAAAGAAAATATTCTGGCCTCTCACAATATCAGTGCACGTGAGATTCTGCAAATAAGTAAACTGTTCTGGATTGGTACCTCATATTCTTAGTGGGGAGCAACTTGAAGGCAAAGGGAGGGTATAAATGGCAGAAGACACAGTTTGCAAGTATGAACATACCGATAAGAGAAGGATGAAAGAGACTGTAACTTGACATGAGACATAGATTTACTTTTTGGAACCAGGAAGTAGACAATAAAAGAAAGTTATGGTGCCAAAAGGAGGAAAAGCCACTAAGCTCTTCGTCGATCTAGGAGTACCAAGAAGATTTCGTGTACTCCTTTCTTCGATGAACACGGTACGGTCTCCCAGATGCATGCACCCAAAGGGTATTCAGTCACTGGAAAGTATTATGCTATTAAAAATACTGGCAGAAACACTGAAACACTATGCCAAAAGAGGGTAATGAAGCAAGTCTTCATACATCACAATTATGCTCCTGCTTACAGATCAGCAAGCGTAAGGGACTTAATCATTACCAACAACAACCGTAATTTTGTGTGTTCCCACATCCACCGTATTCTCCTGACATGCGGTGCCTGTGACTTTTGGCTCTTCCCTAGGCTGAAGAACAGAACTCTAACTTTAACCTTGCCACTCTTCAAGGCCTCTTAGTGAGCTTTCAAGGGTGAAGTATTCAAGGGGACAACTGTCAGGAGTTGAAAAGAAGAGGATATGACAACAGAGGGGCAATTGGAGATGCAGTTTACCAATGTCTAAACGCAATACCCAAAGAGAACTATGCTTTGGTCTTCAATGAATGGACTGGGAGATTTCCAAAATTTGTGGAGGCAGGAGGAAAATAATTTGAGAAGTAGCGAACATTTCATTTCTCTACTTTATTTGGAATGGTTTTAATAGTTCCATGGTTTAATTTTTCTTTTCAAAACATTCTGATCTATCCTGGTATTTAATTACAGTTCGATGGAAGGAAACAAGCTTATAACGTCAAAAGATGTATAAAGATGTCTTTAAAGTAATGCTGCCCGACTTCACCTAATTAGAGATGAAGACAAAAAAACCTTTCAAACAACATGTCTGATGAAAGAGACGAAACAGAAAGCACAAGTCATCGTTGTTTATCAACCAAGCAACTGAAAAGTGTGAGCTTGTAATAAGAAGTCGACAGCATCCTTGACAATGATAAAGATGCTGAAACGGACACCTCAGAAGGGTGTGCGTATTCCTTGAAGAAAGAAAGGTTATTGCTTGTTTCCTTACAAAAAAGGTTTACCATCGTTTGACATGATGAAATAGAAAACAGTTCTCCTCAGAGATATTAATTCCTTCTTGTGATCTGTACGATGTATCAAAGCACGGCTCTGCCAGTGGATATTTGCTATTAACACCTTAGAAGGGCAACATCATTTCCCTTGAGGAAAAAAGAGCAACACGCATCTGCCTTCAATAACATCTTTAAAAGGCTAGTTCCAAAGTCTGTTTGTTCAATCTCTAAAGTACATGTGGATGGATGAAAAGTACAGAGTTTTTAGGGCTACGGACGGGGCAAGGTTACGCTAAAACACAAGTTTAAAGATAAAGCATAAGCGGGCTTCATTTACACCGCGGAGCGTGTATTTACGACTTGACAGGCAGAAGGCGAACGAAGAAAGAAACTTATATTGGAAGTCAAGGTTCAATCGTGAACTTTATTACAGGATCCTGTCATATTTAGCATCACTAATTAATTCTGTTATTGGCAATCATTAAATTTAAGCCGTGCTGTCATCTAAATGCTTTACATTACAAATAGTTATGAATACTGTGTCGGATACTGATTCGAATGGATCTTTGCAACTGGAAATTCTAATAAAAGTTTTATTGAGTTTCTGCTGCCAACTTCCATATCCCCAGAGTTACTTAAAGTAGGGAAGTCAAGGTAGTCTTGGTGACAAAAATTGGTCTCTTACTAACAATAGGTCCTCTTTGAGTCACCATTGCGAATTCTGTCTTTTCTTGAGGCCCAACAATTGGTGGGTCGGGGGGGACAGAGCTACTCCCTTACCAAAAAGGGCAATTTCTATTTTTTTATATAGTTTGGGAAAAGCAACAAGAGGCAGGAATTTTTGGGGAAACTGTTTCATTTCTCTTCCTTCCACAAGCGTGTATAAAGCCCCTTTTCTAAGGTTAGCCTTACCCGTCAGGAAGGCTGCAAAGGGTTATACTCAGAGACATTTCCATTTGTTTTCCTAGAGGCAATTTCGGCCCCTCAACAATTGGTTTTGGATCTGCACTTGGGTCCAACCTGCAAAAACAGGAATATGCCAGTGACTGATTATAGCCACAACTTCTGTAAAGCCGAGAAATATCCATTAGAATCTTATTTTAGGAGGCCCGTTTTATTGATCTCATCAAATTTAAACAAAATACCTTAAAACAACGCCATCTCACCTTGTTGGTCTTTTTAAATACATGTCCCACTTTGTTTGTCTTTTCAATCTGAAAGAAAAAAGAGAATGTTCATATGATGGAATGAAATTCAATCCACTGTTTACTTTTCGTGCTGTGCGTGCAATAGTACAAATCGATGCATCTGCATGATTTCCTCACGCGACCATAGCTCAGTGAGTCCAGTCAATTTGCTGTAAACATTTCACGATCAGTTAACGATAGAAGACAGGAATGCGTAAAAACAATCGAGTTTTTCCTTTATCAATGATTTATTTATAGTTCCATCGGCTACATCATTTAGAGAAATGACCCCATGTTAACCTTGACGACACAAGTTTATATGTGCATCCCGCTAGGGAAACCGACTTGTGAAATTAAATCCTACAGACACATTCAACATCATCTTGAGCACATCATCGACCCGACATCTGCTCCATTCCATCAACCCCAACTGTCGTGTTTTTCAATCACTCGAAGCTGTAAATTATTATACAGAAACAAGTCAGTCTATCAGTGAATATGTTTGGACTGGAGATACAAGAGCTATCTCGTGCATCCATTTTCTATGACGGTTAAAAGAACAAAACACGGGCTAAATGAATATTAACTTGGCAAAAGTAAGTTTAGCTTGGGTCAGTGCAGTTGCTACGCGGAAACTTATGCGAAAAATCAGACATCCATGCCACGCATTTTAATTCAAAGTAACCGTACGATATTATCCTATTTTGATTTCTGATATAAAGTCAACCTCTAATATCTTTCTCCAAATACGACTTCAAGAAAACAGCTTGGATGACAAAGACCCCGAGGTAATACTGTTAATGAAGACTTCACGAAAATACCAAACAAAGACCTTCCATGAAGATCTGTGCCAATCACAATCGTGGCGTAAATTTGTACAGGAAACGGGGGAGGGTGGTGAATGAGGGTGGGAATGACTTGGCTGGCCATGAAAATTTGACGAGGGGGGTAGGGACACTATATGAATCTATATAGAAGTCGCTGTTCGTGATATTGATGTACATCTGTAATTATATATTCAGGATAGCATATTTATGGCCTTTGAAAAATTGGCCTTTTAAAAGTTTTCCCTTTTTGAGTGATATTGAATGCATTTTAGTCGTTGGAAGTCTGCAAAATTCATCACAATCTGCTTTATTTTTTTGCTCACCCAAAAAGCGTGAACGATTCAGTAGTCCATCGCCCCCTCCAAAGTGGTGGTGGTGGGGGGGGGAGTAAATATATGTACCCATCACCCCCCCGGGATTTACGCCCATGATCATAAAATTGAAGACTATGTAAAAATTATTAGATGTTACGTCCCGCTTCAAAAACTAAACTCGACTCTTTGGAGTCATTCAAAAAGAATAACAAGTGGAATGCACGAAACGTTCACGATGATACGGTGCAAAGCACAAACCTGCTTCAAATTTTCCACCTTCTCCAAATCAAGTGTTCCAAATCAGAACCGGTTCAAGGGGCTGTGCTCTCAATCCATTCCCATCCAGGCTAACAAGGCATGTTTTGCAGCTACGCAGATAAAGCAAATCCTTGTGGATTATGTGGGCCTAATTATAACACTAGCGACTCGAACAGAAGACCAAGGGGAGGACGGTTGAGTATCGATGGCCGTCCAAAGGGACCACAGGATTGTCACCTTAATCTTGCAAGTGTCAGAATCTCTGACAGTTTTGTAACTGTAGCCATACAATTAGACCCACGTTTCATAAGACGAAAAGGACAGACATTGGAGACGTATCAACAGGAAATGAAACTCAAAGGTCAAAGCAAAGACACTGGGATGTAGGTTGTGGATATGTTTATATCTTCCAAAGTAGCTTCATCAGCAAGATCTTTTTAACATTTGGATCAAGTAATTGTGCTTTCCACTTTTCCGATGTAACACTAAGTACTATCCGAAAATCTATGATAAGATACCAAAGTCACAACTGCCAAATCAAATTCTATATAGTGGCCAGCCAAGCTCGGCAAGTTTGATTACGGAGTATAGTTAATATCTTCGATCAGACCAACGCAAGAAGTCGTGGTTTCCTCCCACCTGAGGAAAAAGTTGGCTCACAAGGTCATATATAGCATTGGATGTGCAGAATTACTGCATGAACTAAGACGTTGGAGGCCGCGTTCCAATATCAAAGTTTACATGCGCTGACAGTAAATTTCCCCAACCAGTCACCTGATTGTGTGGTTTGCGTTGTGAAAATGCAAATGAGAAATTATATTCTAAACTAATTTATTTGTTGTAACATTCGGATCACGGGGATAACCTTTAACATAATTGGCTCATTTCAAAGATGACACTCTGTACTGATGCCAATGTTGTATTCGAGTCCATCACAAGTCCTTTTACAAGTCCCTTCACAAGGCTAGTCATAGAGCAATGACAAAGGAATGCTTTTGTTACAGCTCATTGCGTAGCTTGTGAATTGGCTTAAGACTGAATGACTTGTGATCGACTTTCAGGGACGTGCAGGGACTTGTGATGGACTGGAATATACTGACTGATACACATAACAAAATGAAACTGTCTATCCTACCTGCTCAGTACACAGAACATTTAGGTCGAAACTGCAACATTATTTGGGCACGCACAACGATTAACAAATTGAACACTTTGCTTATCACTCAAAAAAAGCGATTCACACTTGCGCCTTGTCTCACTCTCGGGCCCACACTGCACGCCTTTTTGCACGTTTAGGCACCCTCACTGTTACCGACATCAACAACTTACACACTGGTATCTTCATGTTAAAGTACATCAATAATCTTCTCCCCAGTACGTTTTCTTCGTACTTTGCATCGGTCAATGAAATCCACGGTTACTCCTCTAGATCCCATACCAATATGTTTTTTTCCCTTCCCTCGCACCGTCTACTCAATTAACACCCTTCGTTTTTTCGGTCCCCGTTTATGGAATACCATTCCCGGTAACATCAGAACGAAATCTTCCGTAGGCCAGTTTAAGACCTCTTATTAAAGAGCCCTCCTTTCCCATTATGTAACATAGCTTTAATCTTCTTCTGTACTTATGGTTATTATATCCTTTTTTAAATTTTATTTTAGTCGTCATCAAATATTACAATTCTTGTAACTTTTTGCTGTCAGCTTTTGTCATATCTTTTATCTTTTGTCCGTCCTGTGTTTTGTCTCGTAGTTTGTCGTGCTGTTGTTTTTGTTTTGTCTTTTGTCTTAGGCCCCCCCCAAAGTCTCTGGTTTCTGTGTATAGAACGCGCGTCGCCATAGACCTGCGCATCGGCAAAATAAAAAAAAACGATAAAAACGATATCCAAAAGCTGCCAAACTTGCTTAATCGACCGGAATCCCGCTACTGCGGTTGAGTAATATGTACAGTTAAGGAGTCCCTGTAATTCCCCATACATTTAGTTGGGCACTCGTTTCCAGCTGATATCATTTCTGAATTATGTGCATTTACATCTGGGAACCAAACAAGGTGGTCTTATGTCCTGTGTACATGTACAAGCTGAAAATGCTTTTAAACAGTAAAAGTGCTGGGGCAGTCTATTTTTATGTTGGTAGCACCAGAGTTACGTGCGCATGTAGTCTAGTCGCGATGGACATCGCGCGTTATTGTACACGTAGGCCTACATCATTTCCAGTAAAAAAGTGAGGGTAAAAAAAACAAATCCGCGTCGCCCCACCACTTTTGGAGCCAGGTCCTGACCAGAAACTGGAGACTTTTTTTGACTTTAAGGGCTGTTTTTACAAGCCTCTGATCATTCAACAACCTCATGGTCTTTTTCTTTTCTTTTATCATTTGTGCATGGACTACTTTTCTTTATCTTATCATAAGTTCTAATGTTCTTTTCTTTTCATTAAGTACATGTATCTGAAAAAAAAAGTTATTTACATCCACTTTGTTAATTTCAATGTACCAAGTTTCTTTAACTTCTATGTACTTTCTTAAGCTTATCCATTGTGTCAAATTCTACGTACCTTCTTCCCTTAATTATCAACGTATTTTCCTTCGAAAAAGAGAATGGAATAAACGTTTTCTTGAATTGAATTGAATTGAATTGAATTGAAACTGTCGCGTTAACAGGATTGTTCAGTTTACCTCGTTTTTAGAATAAAGAACTCGATTTTAAATTGAAAACTCGTATTCCTAGAGGTCTAGACAACATGACACCATTAGTCTACAGTCTGTAGGGTTTCTCGTCTACTTTAACTTCATCAATTAATTGGTTGGATGATAAATGTGCCTATTAAGGACGTGTGTTTATCCCCTGCCGAGCTGTACACATGTAGGACATTATGGATATAAACGAGCGTTGACAATTATTAACTAGTTTGGTTGTGTAAATCTGGTCTCAAGATATCAAACCTGAGCCCCTGCAGTCCCTTTGATATTATCCGTCCTAATGCTTTCATCTTTCTGACTTCTATTTGTCGGGTTCCTTTTCTCTTTCTACAGTGACGCACATACATGTAGTTTGCCAAAAACAAGATTGAAATAACGAACTGCAATGTACGACCAAACTTCTAGGCTTTAACAACAAAGAAAACTGCAGCGCCAAATTAGAACTGTTTTTCAAAGGTACAGTCGTGAGCCAGAAAAAGTTTTCCGCATGCAGGTACTTTTGTGTCTTATCTTTCATTATAGAGACAAGCACAGCACATTCCCTGCTGGCGGTTTATTCTTGAAGGTAAGGTATTTTGGGGCAAAGTCATGATGCAGAAAGCTGGGAGACGAAACAGACAAACCTGAATGATAAGGGTATTAAGAAACGACTTAAAAGACAGACAGCAATATCAGACTGACAAGAGGAATCGTGCCTTCCAATGTTGATCACAACTTCAAGTGCACATGCTACATCAATCATTCATATAAACCTCTTGAGATTTCTTCTGTCTACCCTGCATCAGTATCCGCCCTTTGGTTGCGCGGAGTACCGTATCGAGTGGTTTGCATGTGTTCACAATCTCTGTAGCGCTTGCTATACGCTCGTGGTGAGCCTGCATAGTCTGCTTGCATGCTTGCAGCCAGGAAGGTAGACGTTCATTGGGTTAAC